CTCACTTCAATGTCAGGGGTAAGCGGAAATGACATACAGGAAATAGAAAAAGATGTGCAACGGGAAAGTGTTCCCACCAGAAACATAACTCAAAAACATCAAAAGTAAACAATCTCATAAAAATAAAATTCACAACCCATTATAAATCGTAATTTATAACTATATTTATGTCTACACATTTTTAACTCCGTTACACATGCACAAAAACATGGGCTCCATATGGGTTTCCTGGTCTTGCACCCACACAGACACACAACTATGTCCTAAAATGGACACATGCAGAGAATGAAATCAAGAATACACACATTCACCAAAAATGGCATCTTTAGCCTTGACACTTTAGCTGTTGGAATAAAAAAAATGAGAGCCGTTTCATTTGCATTCAAATGGACACCCACCGGTCCACAACACACACTCTCCTGACTGTGTGTGTGCTTGTAGTATTGTGTACTTTTCTTCATGCATGTCTGTGAGCAGTGTAGCAGATCTGCTGGCACTCCGTGAATGTGCTTTTCTGTCCTGCTGCTTTTCCTGCTCACTGAAACTAGACACAAAGAGATAGAAAGGCAGAAAAAAAGATAGCGGCTCTGATTTCATTTTTCATATTTGGTTTAGCAGCTTTTCTTTTCAGCTAACAAAACAGCCACAAACAGGAGCCCATCAAAGGCCCCATGCCGCCTGGTGTTTGTCATCTCCTGTTGGCTCTGAGCAATGATGGGATGAGGCCTAAGTGTCCTCTGATCAGATTTCTCCTCTTGTCACAAGGAGATAAAGGATCACTTGAGGTGATTGAGCATTTTAAAATAATGAGCTTTGAGAGACTGATCATTACAGCAGGTGGGGAACGTGGCAGTAATGACTGAACTTGATACTGATACATTGAAGCTGTAACACCCCCTGAGTTGGCAGAATGAACCAGTTCCTCACCAGATTCAGCTGTGAGCGGTAAGTGCTGCTGTCAAGAAGAAAAGCAGTGCAGGAAGTTCACCATTTGAAATCAGATATCTGTCACTCTCTGCTGGTTAACCTCAGGCGCTGCACTTCATCTCTGCCCTCTATGAAAACTGTATGTAGGATTTTTACTTCAGAAAATAATTTACCTCAACTTTAATTTACTGGTTTGGTCGCATCATTTGGATTTTTTTTTGTTTGTTGTTGATTAAAAAGAATTTTCTCAACATCATTTATATTTTAAACAAAATAAAAATATATATATATTTATTTATCAATAACTTCTTTTTGAAAACTTCATGCCCTTTATAACTCGACATGTTTGGCTCTCTATATGACTAAATGAATTACCAGAAGTTGAAAGTGTATCAAGAGAACAATCTTTATTTTCCCTATACTTAGTAACACATAGTTATTTCCAGGAAACTTCCTTGATGATTTTAATCATTTCATTTTTTTTCAAATATTTCCTTTTCTTAATGAACCTATCTGAGCATTTTCCATTCCTCTTAATAATGATGTTTAAAGATTATTTAAATTTGTAAATGTTTTCATTTTACAACATGCATCATCATCACAATTCGCTCAATGCCACAATCTTAAAAGGTGTCTTATACTATCTATATCTATAAAATCTATATATTTATGTCTACGAATGCAGAATATTTTTCATGGCCAGCAGTTAAATGAAGCCAATAGTTATAAATTTATCAGAGTGTAGTATTCTTAAGTATCTGCAATTTAAAAATTAAAATTAAACTTCCCTTGCAAACTAAATGATATGCTTACAGACTGATCTAAATGTATTATTCATTTTAGGGTGCTTTGTCTGATGACTGCAAATAAAAACAATTACACAAAAACAATTGTACGCAATCCCTCCCTTCCCCAAATAAAACCAATTAACCAATCATAGGCTGATTTCATTTGCTATTAGGCGTCATTTAGTGAGGACTGCAGTAAAGAGGGGCAGATAATCAGCACCACATTTGATTATCCATTGAGGGAATTATAGACTCCTCGATGTGAGGAACTAGCCTCTTTACAGAGATTATTTCTGTTATTATGGAGCTGAATGGCTCAATCCGATTTAGCACTATCGGAGACAGCACCAGTGTTGTGAATGGCACTGACACTGACATTTAACTGATGTGTGCATGTGTCTAAACTTGCAATCTAGTTTAATTGACCCATTTGTCATTTCAAGGTTCATTTCTCTGCAGGTTTCATTATTTCAATCAACGATGGGAAAACATCAGTGTTACTTAGTGTAACTGAATGATTGGTGTATTGCTGGTTGGTTTAATGATCAATCAAGATGTGCAAGTGTTGACTGATATATGCAAAGAGTCAGAGACTGAAAAAGCCTTAAAGAAGACATATTATGCTCTTTTTCAGGTGTATATTTGTATTTTGGGCCTCTATGCATGTTTACATTCTTTAATGTTCTAAAATAGCTTTATTTGTATCATACTGCCTGGGCAGCTGCACCTCTTTTCACCCTCTGTCTGAAACCAGAGCTGTTGTCATTAGTCAACCGTTTACAGATGTTCTGCCCCTTGGTAAATCACGTACAATGTGTTGGAGCGCTAACCAACGGAAGCACTAGTGTTACGTAGTGATGTCACTATGTTACAAAAGTAAACAAAAAAGTCCAATGGAGGCGTTTCAGGCAGGGGGGGGGAGTGTGTGGGTTACAATATGTTGAGCTGATATTTTGCTTCACATTTAGTTAGACAAAGTGGGGAACAAGTCATAAAAAATGGTGAGGAATCACAGAAATCTAAGAGACCCTCCTGAATGTTCATCAAAAGCTTTATTACAGTTCAAGGGTAGGAAATAAACTTATTCTACAATGATACAGGGAATAAATCAAATAAACACAGAATAAACCATAATTTCAATTTCAAACACAGTTTTGTACATTAAACCATGTGAACAAAGTGATTCTATCTTTCCCCCTGCCTTACGGCATCGTAAATATTTTATTAAATATGACCAACTCTCTATAGTTAAGGATGTGTAGTATTTTCAAGGATGCTTCATTATTGTTAAAATTGCAAAACCATCTTCTCGAGTATAAGACAAATCTGTTGAGGTTTCTTTCAACATTGCAGTACAGATCAGGACATTTTAAGACACCATTTTATTCTACAATGTAGACCTAACTACATTTAGCAAAACTGGATCAACTCCCTCATGCTGCAGCCCTTCTCACAGCAAATGTCAGATATTTTTCCGACAGCCCGTCTAACTCGAGGGGACAGGCGGTACAAGTGAGGAGCCAAGGTGAACACATCCTTTTCTCCATTGGACTCTGGCGATGTGTGGACCGTCTCCGTAGCCTGGTGCTCCTCTGCAGAGGCGTCCTGGTCCCCTATGTCGAGGAAGAAAAAAAATATCTGGGATTAAGAGAGACCCCTCGAAATGTGTAGTCGTCCTCTTGAAACTTCTTGTGAAACTCAAAAGGAAACATATACATTGGTTTGGAGTCAACACAAACAAGAAATGTTGCCTGAATAGTGAAGACAAATTATATTGTGCATCATATATTGCTTAAACAGAGGTCAGACATTAAAAAAGTTGAATAAGAATAGTAGTGATCCTATGTGTAGCGCTCAAATCTTTCTGTAAGTGTTAAATATCTCATAACTACTACAGTATAGAAGTCAGCAATGATGCAACCGTTGTTTGAATATTTCATATAAAACACTTACAGGTGTTTTGATGCTGCCCCAGATGTACGTACGAGATGGTTCTCCTCAGCCGAGAGTTACCACAGTGCGACACGGCCAGACGAATCAGGTCTCTCCCACACAACTGGATCCTCTCCTCTGCATGAACCACACAAAGAGCAGCCACCAGCACCACCATCAGAGACACCAAACACTTAGCAGAAGACATTGTAAGACTGTTTCAGATCCTAGGGTGGTCAGTGGAGAAAGGAACCAAGTGGACTGGTGGTTGAGAGGTGAGGATGGGATGTGCAGTGAGCAAGAAGGATGCACGCCGGTGATTTATGAGATGAATTTGAGGGGGCTTTTATAGTCAATGTGGTTTCAAAAATGCTGAGGCTACAGAGTCTTCCGAAAAATGTATTTAGCCTTGGTGAAGGAAAAGTATGTCCTGATCTAGTGCTTAGCCTGAGAATGATGCAAAGTCTCCTCAAGGCTGAAACTCTCATTGAGATTAAAAACCTGTCCTGACAGGGTCAATCTTAAAAACATTGGGGTATCAGTCAGAGAAATCCGAAGAATTAGCTAATTATTTTGGCCTTTGACACTCTTTGGAACCCAACACAGGTCTGAGTTTGGTCATTTTTAAGAATTGTAAAGAGGAAAAGCGAGATAGCTTATAAACCCTATGCTTACAGATCCTAATGTTGTTTTAGGGTTTTTTATTTTCTTCCCCACTCTTTTTATGTCTGTAGCATTTACTTATATTAATTTGGAATTTCTGAAAAGTCCAAATTCATGTTATTGTGTTACCGTGAACTACTTGAATATGTGTTGCTTTTGCACCTTATCTTGACACATCTTGAGGGATGGAGCTAATTGGAACAGAGAGCGATGGGCAAAGGTATGTCAAGGATATTGACTATTCACGCATGGTCACCCCAGGACGTACTGTGGTTGCATAATCATGACGGAGATGACTGTTTCCCAGCATTGATGACAAATATGGAAGGTGGCAGTTTAACATCTTAAATGTACTTCTGTCTTGATTGCAATTCTATGTCTCATTCTCCTCAAGGGTAAGCAGTGTTTGGTTTATTAGATAGCAGGATAAGGAATTGAAAATAACAATCTTACTTGTTTATTATTTTTTGACTCACAGATTCCTAATGTGTATTTCCTGTAGAAGGTCTTTTCAGTTAAAAAGTTCAAATTTATATTTTTACAATATACAAACAATGGAGTAAATGACTATGTGTAAAAACCTTTCACTTCCAATCATTCCTACATAGCATTTTAGCTTTGATTGCTTTTGTTTTTAGGACTGTTCTGTCACCGCCATCATCAACCTTGATTAGCAGCAACAGTTGTTTACAGCTCTGATAAAAATTAGTGTTTGCTACCTGCCCAGCACCAAACAGCAGAAAGGGAACAATAGCAACTGGTAACACAGTGGATTATTTAGCAGCCAGATATTGCCCTCAGAAGTTTGTGGCGACTTAAATCAGCCTTGAAAAAAGTTAGCAGTGTTGCTGTGTGTGCTGTGTGAACCACACCTCTAAGCTAAAACGTATTGCTTAAGGCGAGACACCCCAGGTGAATAGGGTAATTTTTTTAACTTAAAAAGGTATCAGCTAGACATTTCTCCAGTTAATTACTTACAATAAGGCAATTGTCTTTTGTATTACAAGTTTTCTGAAATAGCATGTTTAAATATGCAAATTAGCCATTATCTCATCAAATATGTGCATATTTTAACACATTTCAGGAATCGAAATCTGAACTTTGGATAAAGCCAGGTTAAAAATTCTTGTTTCATTTTGTAGTCATATTAGTATCTAAGGCTTTTACAGAAGGGATTTTGGATATCTCTTTTTATCACTCCATAAATCAGAAAATACTGTCAACAGCCCTAAAATATCAATTGTTGCCATGTTTTTAGGTATACAATGTTGTATAATTCAGGCTATGAATGATATATGAACAAACCCTTCTGTAAAAGCCTTCATAATATTGATAGGAATATAACTGGAAGGTTTGGTGTGTCTACGTGCTACTGAAGTTGAAATTTCGAACTCAGAGTAGGAGAAAAAACTCATTTTGAGAAAACGACCTTTAAAGATTGCAGCGAGGCGCTAGCTAAACCCTCCTGTTCTCTGGATGACAGCTTGCGCCTCGACGCACTCCGTGAAGGTATTTCATGTTCGGGGTCATTTGTTTTTTGTATAATCTTGCTTCGTGCAAGGGATAATTGTTGTCATCTTCTCTGTAAACTTTTTTTTCGCCGTTCTTTTGCCATTTTGAGATTTACATTTCTAGCGGAAAGCTAACCAGGAAGTGTTTTAGCACACCACGTGACGCATCTGAACGAATCACGTTGTCTGAAATTGACACCAGCCAATGAGATTTCGTTTCTTGGTTTAAGACCCCTTTGTGATTTCACGATTGGTTCCTGATACAAAGGAAATGACCATATTTGGATCCGATTAGATTGTGCAGGAGAGACACAGCTTTCTAACGATATCTCTGTTGACATGGTGCACACAGCGGTCGCGGTACTTTATGTTACGTTAGAAAG